TATCATAATTGCATCTTGCGACCCGATCTTGCGTCTAATGGCGAACAAGGGCTGGCAATTCTCGAACGGACCGTACGGATACAAAGGATTATTTGGATCGGAATCGTGGTTTACCTTGAATTATAAACGAGCATCTACGTATTGTGCAGGTGAGTATTGTGTTAAAGATCCGTTCGAAAGGACATCTCTGTAGCATCGTTACGTCAAACACTGTGATTTTCCTTGATAAAAACTTCAATATGGCGAATGAAAAAAACTATGTCAATGGAAATCATTTTTTGACAAGTTGTGAATGTGCAGAGAATATTTTATGTTGAATATTTTATGATCGTTGCAAAGGAAATCTTTTCACGCACTATACATATATATATATATATATATATATATGTATATATATGCGTTTTTCTGATAATGACAATGCAAATCGAACGAGTATGTACGTGTTATTGGCACAAATGGGTTAAAATTGAGTCACACTACTTGTAATCAGCAGAAATCTCCCTGCGTTTCTAACTTACCTAAAATTGTGTCGAATTACCGGTCCGAATTACCGATCTTGTGTCGGTCACGCGAAAATGGTGCCTTTATATTAAGTAGTATTATGTATAAGTAGTATTTAAAGTAATTGTTATTAAATTTATACAAATACCATTGTAAATTGTATCTTTTCTTACGATTTTTCAATAAAAAACAGTCAAACCATACATATGCGTTATTCATTAATCCCGCACTATCTCCACTCCTATTCCTAATATCAATTAACCAAAAAATTAATAAGAAATAATAAATAATAACAAAATAATTAATTCTAAAACTTTTAAATTCTGGAATTAGTTCAAATTTTCGCCACCAAAGTGGTGGAGGCGCCATTAAATGTCCCATAAATTCCGAAATTTTTCAGGCACTTTTCTGAATCCAAGATGGCGGAACATATTATTGCAGTATATCCCCCTTGATATCATGCATCTTTTAAAATAATTTTTCAATAATATACCAAGTGCTGTTTTAGACAAGAATATAAAAAATCGTGAAAGGAAATTTATAAATGGTTGCCTACACAAGGGTTAAACACAAACAGTCTTTACGATTTATACCGAATCGCAACCTCAATCACCTGTTTTTCGACGTATGTTAATTGATATCCCGAACGAGCGAGAGCATCACCGTAATTTAATAGACACAGACTCGTAGGCATTTACTATTCCATTCGGGCCAGGAGTCGATATACATAGTTCGCACTCGCATGCAAACCAGGATGCTCTAAGAAACACGCCAGGTGAATTGATCAGTTGATCGATTGCAGAACGGTCGTGACCATCCAGGTTTAGATCCTGGAGGCGGAAGCGGGTTCGACAACAGCCAGATAATAGAATCTGTACAATGATTGAGGGCAAATCCTGCTATTGTCGCGGTTAATTTATTCCTGAAATACGCCTTGATGGTCACGTGTAGACGTGGAACAAGTTCGTCAATTGCAAACTTGTGTGATCGAAGAGCCGGGACGGACACAAATTATAAATGAAATCCTGATAAAGCAGATTCTTACATTATCACGATTTTTGATGTGCAATATCCATTTGGAGATCCTTATATCTAACAAAAAATAGTAGATACACGTTATGTTCCAAAGGTCTCTTCTTAATTGATATTTTACGAATTATGTCTATGATGTAAAATTCTATATGTATAATACATTCAAAAAATATAGTTTAAAAAATCTTACAAAACCAGTTCCTATCGATCAACGTGTATGATTATTCTAATAATAATTCTGTGTTAATCTGAAAAACGAAAGAAGAAAAGACCATTAACATCGTACTCGCGTCTGTCTGTAGTTTCTCTGACATAAATTGGGACGGTTTGATGTAAGTCAAAGATGTTTCAGAGGAAAGAATCGTTCGTGTTTTATCGAGGCGTTTTCAGGAAGAATTTTATCAAGCGTGTAATAAGAAACAAGACAAAGGACAGATGGAGGGTAAGAAAAGAACGTAAGTTTGGGAGGAGGGATAAGCAAATCGAATAATGCACACCGAAAAGGTCGAAAACAGATAAGACGTACGAAGGTTGGGTATTTTATTTTTCTGTGTTCAGCTGGTTAAAAAAAAAGGAAAGAAAGAATGGAAAAGTAGGAACGTTGGTGTGAGGCCAAACTGAAATATGCATGAAGGGATAAGGTACAGAAGGTAACGTTATCGATATTTCGCACCGCATATACAATATGCCGTGCGATCAAAACCTTTCCAAAATGGTTTCTGATGTATCGGAACGTTCTGTGAAAAAACTTCAACTATTGTCACGATTAAAATTCCGAATGTAACTTCTGCTTTTAATATTTGTGACATGAAAGTTTCTTTGAGAGGAATGTATTTAGTTTTTGTAGAAGATATAACTGATAAGTTATCACTGATAACCACTGAGCTGTTGTAAACGTTATTGATGGAAGTCAATTTTTAATACATTTTAATACTTAATAATTAAAATTTCAATTTGTATATTATTTTGGGAATTATTTGAAGAAATTGATAAAGGACAACTGTAGAAAATATGGTGTGTCTAGGGAACTATGAAATTATACTTAATTATTTCAAACTGCGGATGAATAATGAAATTCATTTCTTAACATTAAGTTAAGTACAAAGCTGATATAGCGTTGGTTAGCATTTGTTCTGAATAGAACATTTGTCACTCGCTGAAGGCGTAAAATGTTTCATGAAGAAAAATTACTTCAATGCTTGAAATAAAATCGAAATCCCTGTCCTGTTTCCTTCGATTCAGAAAAATTGCTGGGGCTTAGTTTAAGTGAAGCCTCATTGCAACTTCAACCCAGATCACCGTTGAAACATTCGATGGCATAAGTTCCGGAAAGTACCCTTCTCTGTCCTCCATTTATCACGAAACGTCTTAAGACTGCCCCCAGTACTTCCATAAACTTCGCAACAGTCTGTTATTCCTAACATAGAACTTAATACCGCACCATTTACCGACACTGCAAATTGCTACTCAAGTCAATACGATAGTTTATGATATATCTTCAAAGATATTAATATGAAATAATAATATTATTCAAACTTAGATTATTTCTTAGCATTCCATTTGCTTTAATTATGAAATGTTATTTAAAAGACGACGACTACTATTGGTAGTAGGGACATTTATCGACATTGCAAATGGCTACACCATTCAATGCAGTAGTTTATGACATGTCTTGATTATAGAATGTCGCTTAAAAGGTGACTACCAATAGTAATCAATAGACTGCGGATTTTTATGAAAAATCACATTTTAGAAGGTTGTTTATAAAGACAAAAACAGTAGCAGGAATTTCTTTCGTCCATTTAGTATCTTATTGGGCTCAAAAGAAAACAGAAAACTCGTTGCATTTAACGAATATTTTGTCCATTATTATATTTCTCAGTGTTGACTCTCTTATTTTGATATCCCTGTATTTATACGTGTAATAATACAAAATTCACTACACGAGACATGTGTGTAAAAGACTTTTTTTTCTCTGTTCCATATCATCTCACTTCATCAATTTGTTTCTCGCGAAGCCAATAAATATTTTGACGACGACTCGGATCACTGCCCAAAATAACCAGACACGATACACATTTTTAAATAAATCATCTTGCGTCAAATTGCGAGGCCAGACTGTCAGTCGATGAATTTCATACGAGACGACGGGACAACTTCTCCACCATGTAGATGAGAGAAGCTTTGAATAAAACTGAGCGCGATGCAAATTAGTGAGATGAGTGCCCAAACTTTTGAGGAAAATTTCTCGTTTAATGCTGTTTGCGGAACACCTCCCGGCTGGATTATTCAGTTCTGAGATTATTGCACCTGTACAAATTCCTGAAACTCATTCGACGCTTTTGATAAATGAACAGAAACGAGAAACCGCGAAGCATTCATTTTTCAAAAATTTCTAACAAATATAAAAGTATATTTGGTGTAATTTATTATCGTAATTTTTAACCTATATGCTAGTTTTATACGCTGTTACTTTTTTTGGATAATAGGTTGGACTAATTTTGTTCAAGAAGAATTTCTGTCTATTTCAATATGTTTATTGTCAAAAAAATTGTTGAAATTTTGTTTATCTAAAAAGAATATTATCACACGCTATATTAAAGTGCATAATGTCAAATGTATAATTAAAAACTACCAATGACCTTAAAGAAATGTATTTCAATGACAGTCCATGTACTAAATATAATTCATTAACAACATTTATATAATAATACATAAACAAATATTTGGATTTGTAACATATGCATGAAATTATGAAATGACCTTGTATAGGCAATGCAGAAAAATATGAATGAACGGCTATAAGTAAAAAAGTACAAAGTGGATTTAACATTTAATTAGATATAGAGTGAATAACGTAGATAGTCCATTCCTCTTCACATTAAAACATCTCTATCCCTAGTGGCATATTTCAAGCTAATAAAAACAATAAAATTTACATATTTTGTATCTTTTTCCAAGCTTTCATGATCACCAAAATCCAGATTTGGAAGAAAATATTAGGTATACTTGCAGAGGAGTGAAACTTCTGTGAATGATTAATGTGTAAGAATTTTGTTCAGAAAATTAATAACTGTAAATTCATGTGTTGAATATACAAACGGGTTATTAATTAATGTACAGTACTGGATGTGATAGACGTCAGGTTGCAAAAGAGTAATACGAAATAATGGACAAAAATGATTTATTAACAAAATACTATTCAGAAGGAACTTCAAGATCGACGCTAGAACTACCACAAGTAATCAAAATGACTAGTTAATATACATTTATAATAATGATTGAAATGTTATATTAATGCATTTTCTGTGATCTTTTACAACTTTTGTTGTAATATATAAGTCAGAAAATGAGTTAATTACTAAATTTGTATATTTTCAAAAGTTTGTCATGTTTATCGATCCGATAGAAATAGATACACGTTGATCATCGGTAGTTCTGGTGTTGAAGTTGAAAAACCTAGAAACTGAAACATCATAGTAAAATTTTTATTCTCGTCTACGACATTAACCAATTTGATGACTAAACACTAATATACATAAATTACCGTCCATAAGTATCCAGACTCTAATATATATGATGTTGAAAATCCATGAATATTCTACGAGTATGCCTGCCTTCATAAAGTTTCATCAATCCGTTTTATCAAAATTGAATATACACAATTGTTGCAGAACAACAAAAGTAATTAACAAATAATATCGATAAAAGTACCATCAGCAACATTTAATAAAAAGGTACAATGTTTACCAAACACAATACTTCCTTGTTTTTTGAAAAATATTAACATTGAAAGTTTGATAATACTCCGTGTCCAAATACTTATAGACAGTAGTGTATGTCACACGTATTATCTGTAAACATATATCATATTTGCCAAACGTTATTCATCTTTCGAAGATACACAAGGCTCTTATTGAAAAGTGAATAATTATGCAATTGGCGTGATCGAATCTGTAGGTTCGACGGTAACCATATCGTCGGATAGGTTCCATAGAAAACCACATTCCCTGTCTGTCCGTTTCTGGCATGTCGGGTGCGGTGGAAGTTCACAGACGCATTTCATGCAAGAGGATTGGGGGTCTGTTCCCTCCTTCAATTCGTCACCAATGTGCATCAACAAGTCACCGAATCGACACATTTTACCTTCATCTAAAAATTACAGTTGCTTCCGATTAATCTATCAGGTCGTTGTGTATGAAATATTGCTTTTGTTAATTGGTATGTTTGGTTACACTTTTATGAACGATACAGCATTGATTATAGTTTGTTTTTAATAGAGCGAAAATTGCGAATTATTTCGTTGTTCACTTAAATTGAACGTACCTGTCTCGATGGCTTTAGTGTTGTCGTGTTTGTGTATAATAGTGTCGTTCGCGTTTGCTGCAAAAACAGTGCGACTTCATTTAATGAGATTATTCGTTTGAAAGCGTAAAGTAACAGTTTGCATCCGGCTATTATCATGAACTTACGACATCTAGTGGCATAACTGCAATCGGTTCGCGAATTCTGGCCATCGTAAAAGACGGGCGCGCATTGTTTGAGCACCGAGCCAGGATTTCGGAACAATGGACTGCAGTATCTGTGTTTTGGCCTCTTGCAGAAAGGTTCAACATTTTCACCTAATAGAGAAATTTACAATGAAAAAGCTCCCCTATTCCAACTAACAATACATTCCTTATGTATATTTCTTTCAATAGAAGTTTGCAGATACGTAAACGTATATAGAAATATTCCACTATAAAATCACTGTACAATCCGATAATCATTTATATTCTACGAATTATGATTTTTGCTGTTTCGAAATAACATACACAAAATATGCTTCTTTTTATTGTTAACTGTATTTCTGTAGCAGCTTGGAATTCAATACTAAATAAGTTCACGAAAGTGTAATAATTCATTTGTGACAGATTTCTCACTTAACTGTAGCTTGTGGAATAAAAATAAATTTTAAAAAATAGATTTTAGATTTAGTAAAAAATATACCTTCCAAATACAAACGGATTTATGTGGAATTTAAATTAATTTAATCGGTATTTCGTTTTATCGATATTACAAATGTTATACCTTTGTAACCTGGCATGCAATAACAATCCAGCTCCGGATCGGATTTTGGTTCAAAGTATTCACCGTCTTTGTATATCTTGCCGTCTACTTCGCAAGTAGCCCTCTCCTCGCCTTCCTTTACTGAAGATCACAAGAGGTTGCGTTTTCATTTGTTTCTTTGTTCGCGGATTCCAGCAGTCCTAATTCTATCAATATCTCTCTTTTTGATGGTACAAATGTTACATAAAAAATATTTGTCAATTGCGTAGATAAAGTCAAACTGTTCCTATAGAAGGTTTTATTATTAAGTGTAACTAATCGCAGTGTTTATTTATGAATACATAAAAACATCAGTTCCTTTTATTCTTCCACTTCAATTTAAATTATACAGGGGAGAGTTGCCTATACGTACAGTAGGTACCATTTAAGACAGTTTACATTATATTTCATATTTGACACTAATTTGTGCAAAAGTTAATATTAGACGTTGTAGCTAGATGTCTAAAACACTTATTATATGACTGTTGTCAGGAACAAATTAATTTGTTATAACTTGTTTTACGACATAATGTAAAAGGTACGATTTATGCAACTGGTCTCCCAAATGGTTCGAGCTTTGAAACTAAAAGTAAATTGTATCCACTGTTTTTAAGTTTAACAAGATCATTGTAAAAAAAATTGGATATTCCACGAAATATATTATTTTGAAACTATTATACGTAGTGTTACTTCATGGATTCTGAATTTTTTCAATGTTTCAAGATCAACTGGATTTGTTTTGACTATTATTCATGGTATGTATTTAATATCGTATATTGTAATTTTTTTTATTAATACTATAGTGTAGTTAATGAATCAACACAGATGCCGATCTTCATTCATACTGTAATAGTAAAAATCGAAGTGATTGAAATAAAATACACTTCATCGGCATCCTTGATCGCGATTAAACTCCAATGACTGAGGCCACTGAACTATTATATTGTGAAAATTACAGATTCTATATTTCTGAAAAAAACTTGTTTCAAATCACCTCACGAGTCTTCTATTTCTGGGTCCTCTAACATTTTTGTTACATTCTGTGTATTAATCTCCAACCTGGTTTACTGTATGAAATTTACTCACAACAAACTTGTGTTCCTCCACAACAGCTGTTAGGTGTGTGTCTGAAGAAACAATTCGGCTGCTCTCCCGGAAAGGCACAATCTGTTCCCGCGCATATAAAGACGGCGTCCCCGCTATTAATCAATCGGAATAACATGTTACAGAGCAGTGAAAGTAAATCAGTTGGACACGGCGAAAGTCGTAAGTTAAGCGAAGAGCATTGCTAGCGGTGCGAGCGATGACAATAATTAATGATTTTGTTCAGGAGAAATTTTTTAAGAATAGACGATTTCTGCAATTAGGGGGTTGAAGTTTATCGCCAAATATAATATTTAAAAATCGAACTCTGATCGTTTTGTTAAAGATATTACGACATAAAAATTTCAAGATATTCCTTCAAAATAATCTCTCCATTAGTATTTAATGAAGTTATTGTTTGGTAAGAGAAACTGTTGTTAATATCATGGAAAATATGGTTAGTATTAATTATATCGTTAAAATAGAATCAAAATGTGACAAAACGAAAATGGCAATTGTTGCGAAAGTTATAGTCGCAGTATCTGTTTAAGTGTACTCACTTGTCAGAGTCACTGTTCATACAACGGCACTCTATATCGCAAGCATTTGCGTCTTCCTCTCTCAAAGTTTCATTTATGCTATATTCATGACCGTTTACGTAACACTTGTCCTTTGACAATTTGTTCAAATGGCTACAGTCATACGACTGGGGACAACAGTCACCAGGATTTTTGTATACTGGAGTGCAATCGAGTGACCAGTAGTACTTGATAGGTCCTTGGCATTTTGATTTATCGCAGATTTCTTTGAACACAAAATGAATACAACCATAAGCATCATAATATAACAGGAACAAAATTTTTTATCAAAATCTATTTGCTATGAACATTGGATGTATAGTATTACATTAGTCATTCTCAAAAGTATCCAAAAGAAACTGATAATTAGGCTGTACAAAAGTAGAAATTCATACGAATTTACTTGTTTTATTATAAATAAATTATTATCAGCATTATCTGTAATGTTTTTGTTATTTTGACGTGCACTATTATTCGTGTAACAACGAACTATACTTTGTTAGTCTATAGAAATTAATAATCCATTGAACAGTTATTACAAATTTGATTCTGCAGTTGTTGTTAAGGACGATTATGGTAATAAAAGTATCATTTTAATGATTATTTGAATGAAAGTACATTTTATTCGGTATTTGCTCTGTTCTTTGATCTTAATTGATAGCATTGTAACAATAATGTATGGATATGTAAATTACTTTTATATTTGTTAATTTGTTTCAAAATTAAATGTTTGTTGTATGGCTGCTCAAGGAAAATAAGAATATTTCTCTAGCATAGAACATATTATATTTCAAAGCTAAACATTTTTAAATATATTATAAAATTATATAAAACATTTTTAATATTTTGCACTTGATTTGTAGTAAGTAATTTAATTAGCAAGTCAGATGTTGCAATTCAGTTTGATTGGCTTTATCACCATTTATTATCTTCATTTGAACTAGTTAGATTTATTCATTACTGTTGCTATAAATGATACGCGATTAATCCTGGTATCAATAAACTAGTTAATATAAACATGGAAGCTATTTGACCTTATTTCCACGTCATAGCGAATACAGCAATGATATAACACTTTCGATAAACGAAGACATTATACATGACTTCACTCCATTATGTACGAAAAATATTTCTTTGTAAATATTTAGAACTCGTCATAATATTTTAACAAAATGGGAATTATGTCACTGTAATCGTTAACTAAAACGATCTCATACTGAAGCAATAAAACAGTAATAAAAAACCAATAAAAAATTAATAAAGAAGTCATAAAAAAGTATTAAATAGTAATAAAAATTTACTAGTTACTAAGGAAGGAACAACATCGATTCATATAAGCACCAGTGTATCGTTTGCTAATAAATAGTAACAATCTTGTTGTTTGGATAAAACAAAATTAGTCCGTGCCTAACAGAAATCCTCTGTTTTTCAATATAATTCATACACGTCAATGACATGTACGAACCATTTCAATAATCACAAGCTGCACGACACAAGACAATCACGTCGTAAATATACAGTGACTACCAAAGATTTCCGGCTAAACTATATTTTCACCATATCTCTGTCATAACTTTCGTCAGGTCTGTATTTGTTAGAACCAGGAGAACAGATTATTTTTATGCAGGACGAAGGATGAAGACGCACTATAATCTTAATATGGGTATATCAAAAGTTTATTCGTATTACATACAGGGTGAGTCAATAATAATTACTATCTAAATTAACTTGTTACCTATTGATTGTATCAGAAAACATTTGAATGGATTATGTAGCATTTCAAGAGATGCATTGGATGGATACAATTTCATTTATTACGTTATTATGTTAAACAACACGTAAAATGGTTCTATAAAGTTATGGTACAATGGTGGCAGTAATTGATACATCTACCCTAATTCATTAAAACCGGTTTTTGATACAACTAATAGGTAATGAGTAATTTTACACAATAGTTCTTATTGACTCACCCTGTATTTTTAGAAGGATATGTTGAAATTACAATTTGACGGAAAACTCTTGGCAGTCACTCTAACTATCGTTCCCATCCTTGACTGAATTCGACGGTTCTTCATTACAGTGTATAGTCACTGATCAATTCTCCTAATCCGACAAACAATCTCTCACCTCGGGCTACGCAGAAAGTGACAAGAAGCGTCAAGAGAACGCACTCCCGAACGAACGAGCAAGAACTACCGCGCGTGACCATCATAGACAGATAACACAGAGACATTATGGTCCCGATGGTCACGTCGCATCTTTTATACCCTAATTGCCGCCTCGTTCCAAGTAAAACTGCGAAATGAAGAATGGAGGGGAGGATTTCCTATGTCAAGGTCCTCAAAAGCCATCGTCAGTTAAATTTATCAGTCCGTGGTACACAGTAATCGCGAAGGATATTCACGTGACGCAAAAAAAAAGAAGGAATGAAACGCGAGATTCGAATTAGTGGGAAAAGGGATAACGAGGAAACCTTTGTTAGAATTTCCGCGAAGATTATTAAATACGCACGTACTTGTCACACGGTGGTACATAATGACTTATTCTTTCCAAATCAGTCTAAAGGTCGCAATTTTTCAGAAATTTTGATGCAATTATTTCTTAAATTCTTCGTAATGAAATTCTCTAGCGATCTGTCCAGTCTAAAATTTCAATGATCGGCATCTGTGGGCTTGTTTGGTCGCTGGTTACGAATTTAAAGTCAATTGGCGAATCCAATATGGCGAAGCGAAATTTCAGAAAATCAACTTACTTGGAAGAAACTTACGTGGTAACTACTATGAAAATCAACATTTTAATTTGTACCACAAGTCTAATATTGTAAATTAAATTGTAAAATTCCAAATTAATTTTAACAATTAGTGATTACCTGATTTTAGTAATCATGAGCCTTTAATACTACGTTTTCCAATTCAACGGAAGATGAGGTGAAGTTTTGTAACTACTTTAGAATGAGTGTGAAATCGTTTGATGAACTGTATATAAGAATAAATAAAAACGTTTTTTAAATAATAGAAGGTTAATATTTAGAGGCTTAGAAAACCTCTCCTGAATTAATATATTCATCTGAGAATGTCCGGATATACTGGTTATACTGATTGTGAGTATGATCATTAACTGCATCGTGACAGGATAATTGAGTATGATGCTTATATTGAGTATTCTGAGTGTACCCGCATAATTATATCGATTACAGATCAATATCAACATCTCAATCAATTCCAGAATCTTTGTTTTTTTTAGTTACATAATTCAATTTTTTTTTTAAATATTCCGCACTTATGAGGAAAATAGTTTGAAAAAAGTCGTAATGTTTAATGACCTTAATTGATCTCCATGATCTATACATTTTCAAGACGAAATACGGGGTGTTCAAAAAAAGGATCTTACACTTTAGGCGCTTATAGTACACACAGAGTGGAGTAAAAAATGTCTAAACAACATAGATTTTAAAATCAAACATTTCGACGAAAAATATACAAGTTTATTTTCACGTTTGTTGCAGACGTTAGATACAGTGGGTACAAAAAGTATTTGCACACCTTTTATAACAGAACGACCGTTTAAAATTGGACCAAGACAGACGACCGTTTTAAAACAGTGTGCGTCGTTGCGCAAATAACCGCGAGATCTAGCGGACGTTTGCAATATGGCCATTAATGACCATTATGATCATTCTCATCCTATTAATGACCCAAGTCTTGCGTATAATGTGTCACGGTATCATTCGTGCCAGTCTGGTCTCATACAATTATTAATGAATTGTAATGTATTAAAAAGATACGCGTAAAACATGTTTTTTAACCTTTTCATTATGAATAGAAGTAGTTTTATTACAGTAAAAAAGACACATTATATATTAAATTATTATATATCAAAATATACATTTATTTTACCGAAAGTCGTAATTTTATTCGACTGTTAATGGGTTAAAGTCTATTTAACTTCTCCAGAAAAATAGTTAAACTATTTATGTGTCAATTGAATAATGTATTAAACCGTTTAATTGAATACTTCCTGCAAGAGGTAATGCTAAAAACGTCTTTGTTAATTATCCATTATTCGACATCACCTGTTTAAATACATATACCGATTGTTATTAGTTTTTAATTCAATGGAAGCTCGAAACCGCGATAGTAATGGCACAAATTCTATCAATTTAACGTTACGATGTTTCGTGAGGATTCCTGTATCCTTACGATTTCCCACCTTCCTTATAGAATGTAGTTCGCGGGAATTCATGAAATTCCGAGGTAAATAGCGCACGATCTTGGGAAAACGGTATCACCCTTTGTGAACGGTTTAAAATCTCGTTATCATTATTCGTACCATCAAATTGGAAAAGCAACTCAAGTAATAAAGAATATGTACAAATGTAATGGGACGTTCGTAGAAAAAAAAACAGAGGGTTGTAAAGCCTTAGAAACAGATGAGGAAACGGCATGTGGGGTAATAAAGGTCAGACTTAACGGGCCATTACATAGACCATAAAAAAGATTAAACTTAAACCGCCATTATGCGAAATTACGTTACTCTGCGGCTCTCTCTGCTGTATTGCCAGACTGCACACGTGTGTACGCAGTTTTCTTGCACGTGGATAACCACGTTTACAATACTAACTCTATTGCACTTGACTTTTTAGCCAGCTGCACCAGTATTTTTTTGCGGACAGAACGAATTTTGAAGATAAATGTTTTACAGCATAATCCACTTGACTGAAAATCTTGAAATATTTTCCTGAACTGTTTGTTTCATAAAAAAGTGCTCGAAATCAAGGTTACATGGTTTCCAAGGGGTATATGGGTAGTAGATGGTTAAAATGAATGGTCTCTTGTAGATTGGATTGAACAGTTAACAACTCAGATCATTTGCACGTTTTGCAATGCTTTAATGTGGATATGACACATACTTTAGAACCAGAAAACCTCCAAAATATAAAAACATTAAATGAATTACAAAGCAGTAAATTGGACGCTGCGCATGCAGGTGGTGAATATGATTTCAATTGAATATGTCGCCTGAAACCAAAATCATTGTAAATCAATAAATTTTTTACTCACAATCAACAAGGTGGAACTCGCTCATTAAGATCGCAAACCTCTGAAAAATTTTATTACATACTTTTTAGAGAATTATTTCAGGAAAGATTTGTAGGTAGAGTTGATATTTGTTGTATAACTTTGCGAATTTTTAGTAAAATTTTTTAACGATGTTCCAGAAACAAAGGTATTTAAGCACGTAAACAATTTCGTAAGAGTACAATCAATGTGTTTTTCTGCAAGTAATTTGCTCTTCATGTAATATATGTTATTACATAATATTATTTTAGATTTACTTCTTGTTTCGTGTTTATACAACAAGGGGTAGTGCCATTAAAAAATAAATAGAAATTAATGCCTTATTAAAAAAATGAAAATCAACTTCGAATTTGTTCCGTCAGTTCTACAGGAATTTAAAACCATACGAATTTTAAATTGTTAGAAACTTTAATTACTCGTCGCGCAAGTGTTACTATAGTATTCTGGTGTTAATTGTCCGGCTTAACTTGCAAAATACAGCGACTCGAGTTGTTCTCGGCGTTAAAGTTTCGAATCCCCGGGAAATTGCAATATCGCGTGAGCTCGCAGTCAAGCCAAAGTCCCCGCGAACTTCGAATTCATAAACAAAATTGAACCGTTGTTACGTTCATTTTTCACCTGTCCATTCAAAGATTTATTTTCCGGTTTGAAATTCTCATTTTCATACGTTCCTCCGTACAGATCGGATCACGCGTGACAAATGCTCGAGATTAGTGGCGATGATAAACTCCTCGACGTGTTGAATGCAGAACGCAAACAGTTCGACAGAAATATATTTGTTTACATGTTGTGGAACCGTAACGTGTTATTTGATACTGATTTCACATTCGTCTTCTGGACTTTAATTTCAAGGGTAATTAAGAACACTCTTAAATTATTTGCACGAAAATCAGTAAAAAATGATCTCGCTTTTTTACTGTTCTCACCTTAGTTATAATTAAATTGTATATTTCATGTTTGCATAAAATATGAAAATCATAAAATCAAAACAAAATGAAATTTTAACAAGGTTTACTACAGTGTTTTTTATTTTACTTTTCATGTTACCGAGAATAGTATTTTAAATATTTTATTTCCAAATTTTACGCTGTTCTAAAGATGATGATATAATATAAGCTCATTGTTCTGCCCCATCCTTTACAATGCTAAATGTATCGCAGAAATATTATTAAAGTAAGGAATACTATTAAAACAGCGTAGGTTTTTAATTTTCCTATAGACAAATATTAATTTTGCTAACAGCGACTAATGGTAATCTGGCAAAACATAATTGCTTTCTTAACAATTTCTCTTTTACAATTTCTAGCTGCCTCTCTTGTCGACAAATTCACAGCGCCCTGCTGCACTCAGAATCGTCGATTCATCAACGAACGACGACGACCACGAATAATATGAAATTAAATCGAATCCCTTCTGACAATCAATAAAAAAGAAAGAAAATAACAAAATTCGAACGACGGAACGAACAAACGAGGGTCTACATCTCTCACCGAGAAACGAATCCTGATTAATGGCGCAAGTTTCCACCGCCTTGCCGGTGCTGGCCATGTTCGGAATTTATAATGGCGGAATACATTATAATGGCCCTCGGAACAGAAACCCCGGTCCCTTCGGCCGCGGCGCCATTGTCTCCGATGGTAATCATGAAAAAATAACGCGGTTCCTCCTTGCAATTAGTGCTTCATCTTTTGATCGATGGCCGGCAATTACGGTTCGAACCGTTGATCGAAGACAACGGGGCCGGTTCGTCCCTCTTCGAACCAGGCTTAACATTTTAGTCAATATTACCAGCGGAGATCGTCGTGTGATTAGAGAAGTGTTATTTACATGAACGAACCCTTTCAGTGAACCCCGACCATTTTTCAGAAGCAAAAAAAAATTGCTAAAAGGAAAGTATAATGTGTCCAGTTGTCCCTTGCTTCGACTTGGAAATATATACTATTTTTAATAGAATAGTGACTTACCAATTAGTTTTCTTAGAGTATGGTTTAACAGAATTTTGTATGGAATAATCTGGCATGAGTAGGTTTCAATATAGTATTGTATTAGGGAAAATATTTATCCTTTAGACTACACTGCATTAATAATCAAGGACACAGTTGAAAAATGGTACGAGTGTTTTCTAATGATCGTACGTGTATAGTAATGTGTTTTAATGTTTTGAAGCATACATATTTTGCTATTAAAGTTTAAGTTCACCGACAGTTTTCGAAAATTAAAGATGTTGTCATTTATATCATTTTTTCTCTGTAATATGATTTGACGTGAATCAGTCGAGAAATATTATTAAAAATTCACTGTCAACCTGTCACGATTCAATCGAACGGATATGTCTAAATAAAGGGAACAGTCGATTAAACAAATATTTAAGATTGTTCGCACCACTGTATACAATTTACATTTTAATATTTTTCATTCTTCGATTGTCCATTATAGAATTACAACCATAAGAAAATAAAGGTTACCTAAAAGTTAGAAATCATACATAATTAATTCTGTCAATGTCTAACTACAACAGAATATTATTTATAATTGTGAGTATTCCTTTAAATCCATTTATTATACATTACCGGAAATTGTCTTTAATGAAAATAAAAATACCTCTCACAGACAAATTTTTCTTTCGTTCGAGCACAAATATTTTGGTGAAACCCTTTCTACATCCAGATTTTCATTCCTATAAAATTTGAAAATACAATGTGTTGCCCGAGTAAAGCCGCGTTTTCAGTTTTGTATTTCTCTTGTGAGACGGAACTCATGCATGAATATGAGAAGATGAATATTTTCGTTGAAAATTCCACTTTCGTTCTTATTCCCCCGATTTTGCGCTGGCTTACGTGTCGCTGATTCTCGAAAATTTCTACAAACTTTCGTGTCGATGATACAGCGACTGACGCAAATCGCACCCACTCCATGTTTTCGTATTTGCAGGCTGTATAAAAACATTTGACGTATCTAAACTTTCTATACAAAAAAACTTGAAACAAAGAATTTCATATATTTTGTTGTGTGACTGTGTTATCAAATGGACAGCATGATTACATAAGACACATACATAGATAAATTAATTACATAAACGTTGTTTATCTGCGAGACAGCAACGAGATATCAAAAACTTTTAACATTATTGATACGTAAAAACGATACTTGGAATCCTAATGTCTTGAATCGCCAAATGTCTCGTTGATAAGCTAATTATTATACATGAAATGTCAGCAATAGGTAATGAATGCCTTTCGTTACACACGAAAACAAAGTGTACACAACATCGACCACGAATATCTTATTGATCTAACCTCGATCGACATTTCTTTCATGCTCCGGGGCAATCCACGTTGGAATTACGATAAACAAGAATGTATTGCCAACTTAATTGTTTTACGTACATTATACGTTCTTCGAAGTTGACAATTACTGAATTATCTACTTCAATTATAATAATAAAAATATGCATAAAGAATTGCTTGAGCAAACCGGGTTTAAATGCTTAACATCTTGAAGATGTACTTCTTGCATTTGCTATTAACATAAATAAGTTAGAAACTCTTTCGACAGATTTATTATCTTCCGTAATTATTATCACAAAGTCAGTTTCAAATGAAGTTTTCTACTCATTAGATTTCCTGTTAATACACAAATATCTGCCCCAAGAAACAAATGAATTCTTCCGGGAAGATTAGTTATATGAAAATAATATTTTGCAGGTTACTAGAACAGAATTGTTACGTGCACACAGAAATACGAATTTTGAACGTTCTTTTGACCGGCAGTGGATGTGTAGAAATAGCGAGATCATGATATTACATCGATGAAATATCTACTTCCTTTATTTTACTATCTCCCATTGAACGCGAAAAAATTGAAATAACAGCAACTATATAAATTACGAGTACAATCTTTTTTCTAACATTAGGGAGTACAATTTAGGAGAATTGACTGCCAAGTGGTACGAAAGTAAAAAAGGATTGTGAACCGCTACTTTAAGTAAATGGCGCTGAAGACTGCGACGCAGCAACCATTCTTCGCTTGCTTCTATTCTTCCATAAAAAAAACATCGTGAACTTGGTCAAGCGCAAAAGCTTCTAAATCCAGTATCTTGATAGAACATCGTCGTTCCTCGTATTAGTTACTTATGCAATCAATTTCCCCTCTATTCGCAAACAATTTCTAAACTCTTGCTCGACCGTCCACGGAGGTCGACACTCGTTTCAGGCTGGACGGTCACAAAACGGCAACTCGTCCGCGAGTGCGTTTCATCTCGGGGATGTCGGCTGAAAACTGTATTTTCCCGGGATGCAAATCTCGTCCGGGCTAACCGGCGATATTACACCGAGCCTTTGGGCTCCAATTTGGATGCAGATCGGGATTAACGTTTTGTACAGACGTGTATCCAGAGCGAGGTTTCAACGACCACCCTTGACGAGAAACTTTTAAACGAATCCACGGGACGAAGGGGACGACTTACCTTGTAACTGCTGACCGCGTGCGCGCCATCGTAGATGTAAAGGTGATCGTTGCAGTCCAGTTGCAGCTGGTCGAAACGAAGCATGAACCGCTGAAGGATGCTGTGGGTCTGGAAGGTGATGGTGCAGTCGTGATCCTTCTCGTTTTGCGACACGAGAACCGCCCCCTCGATCTTCCTATAGATATCCCGTATGTAGTTCTTCTTGCATACATCGCTCATTTGATCTGCGATCAGAGAAATTTCGAGTTGTTACGAATGGGATTGGCACGGGTTGACACTTAAGTAGTCGCATGTAGAAAATCACACATGAGTACAGTTCAAACAAACTTATTATGTATATGTTGTAAAAACTCTCGAACTTTAAAAACACTTCGGGAAGAGTGTGTGCAAAAAATTCGTGTAAAAACAGAATTGGGCGTATACTTAAATTGTGGAAGACGCAAACTGTTTTTATTTAACCATTTTGGTTATAAGTGTTGAATAACACATGACCCCACACTTTTGGACAATAACGTAAATGTACACTAATTAGTTCAGTTATTTAGTTTAAGATACACTTAAATGCATCTAGACTAATCTTCAGCTTCCAATCACTTGTTATATAAATATTTTAGTTGTACCGAGCAAAAGAAGGACACTAGTATTATTTTGATTCGTTAATCTTTTCTTTCGTTAATTATCTGATATATATTTTTCATTAAAATATGTATTAGAACCAAAGTGATTTAACCATAATTCGTTTGATTCGATTTAAAGTTCTTAAAGACAAGATTGATTCAGTACAATCAACTGAAAATGTTATGGCTTTTCAGCTGTTACCAATTGCTCGCTACCGTAAGAAACGATTTTATCGACTTTAAAATCCAGTGAAGTGCACCAGACAACGGAGCCTAATGTCTGTGCCGGCTGTTGGCAAGCTAGGTCGAATTATCCAATCGATTGACGACCGATTGATTCGTGCATCACTAGGATAATGGTTCGAATTCGATTTCGGTGCACCTGCGATTATTTTCAGTCTACTGCAGTCGATAAGGCAAGAGACGGGGGAAATGAAAAACTGTTGCTCCCGTGTATCAGTTCCTATTAAATTTACGGCTAATTCTGTTATTTTAGTCACTTTTAATAAAACAATAGAAAATTATAATGAGACAGCCAATGAAAAATTGTCGAAAGATGGAATACTGCCATTTAAATGATAGTGATGTACATAAATAAGTTTTAATAGTGTAATAGTTCAAAAACTACACAATCGATTTCCGTTGTTCTAAACTCAAGTTTTGTAGATATAAAAAAATTCTACTTTTTAAACAGTGCATAATAAAGAGCAAATGACCCAGAAATACATTACAATTTCACATTTTTATTAACACCCTGTATGTAAATACCGTTCTTTTCCAAATATTTTTCACTTTTTTGGTTCCTTCGAATACCTAAGATAAAGTGACTGGAAAAGGAACAAAAAACACAAACATGGGGTCAGAGTCCATTTTCCGAGTTTAAGCAACACGCAGTTTCAGTTCAGCAACCTGGCTGTGCAGAAGATCCTGAAAGGTTGCTCGATCAACACCCTGAATACTTTGATCAATAGTGAACAAAAACCTATGTTGTTCTTTTCCCAGTTATGTTATTTGAATCTATAAAAAAAATCCAAACAGTCAAAGAATACGACGGACTTTGACGCCATTTTTCTGACCTACATATGTTGAATCCTCCAGGTTAGCGACACTTATTTCAGTTCTTAGGAGTCCTATAATACCCGACCATAACTTCGTCAAAACTAATTCAACATCAAGGTAACTTTCCTTTGTAAGTAAAACACAAACCTCGATAAACCTCGAACTTCTACAAGTGGAATTCACAATCGAAGTTTCTACTTTCTTGAACAAACTGTACTGTAAAAAGTACACAACACTTCTTTCCTTCTTTTTCCATGAAAACTATACCATAATCTGCACTTTATACGCCCAACTCCTACGAATTTCACACACAAATCGCAAACATAACGAGCTCGCACGACACGAAAGAAGCAAATTAACCCACGAATTCGATAAAACTTTCCCGGAACAATTTCACAGTGAAAAATCGGCGAGTCCCTTCGGCGGTCGAGGCTCTCGCCTCGATCGGTCAAACGGGAGCAAAACGGAGAAACTCGATTGAAAAGTTTTCGCTGGTGTTGCCTCGAGGCGGTCCAGAGTACAGCCGTGAGATAGTTTTCCGCATGACGTGGTTGCAGCTGCGAGGAGTTTCGCGCGAATTTGGGCCGGGAACATTCTTGGTGAACTTCGGGCAAGATTTTCGATGAAACTGTACGCGCATCGGCGTCGGAGGTCACGGGACAAGGGAGATGTCGCGTCTGACTTCCGTGATTCCTCGGAGGCGTTCGAACATTTTGTAAATTGGAAAGAACCGGGCCAATGTACCGTGGAATAGAAGTGGGAAAAGGAGCGCCACGGACGGATGGAATTAGAGCAACAGATGGTTAGGTTAAGGTGGTTCGTGCGAAATTCGAAAGACTAGATAATTAAATAAAATTCATACAGATTGTTTGTTGAACCGAAATACACACAAAAAGAATTTGAGACTCGGTCGCCGATCAAATAAATAAGAAAATGCTTTTCAAAAATTGAGTTTTTAACACAGCTCTTATGGGAGTCTTACGAGTTCTTACCGGAAGTATAATCTTTTCTATTCACAAAAACTAGAAGTGCTAACTAAAAACTAAGTACTGAAAGTATAAATTCTGAGCTTTCTGATAATGAACTAAATCTTGTACCATGCCGAAATAAGAAACTGCTTTGTTTGAGGTTTATCTGGTATACCTAATCCATTTTTCTCCCTTTACGTCGCTCGAAAACAGCTTACCGTATAAAGCAGAGGTATTTCTAAGATGAAATTAAGACCAGTATAGGGAGACGAAATTAGGCACAATGTCACTTTTCAATATACCTAATTATCAATTCTGACCTATAAGTGTCAAAATGAGGTCGCCACTTTACATTATGAAAACAAAGATAACAAACAAGGACTACACACAAAAGAACATGATAGAAGCAATTACCTTAAATGGTGCAACCTGATTTTAAATATAAGCAGCCACTACAGTGCACTGTGTGTGAAGTAACATTGTCGTAACTTATATCGAAATTAATGAAAGCTTTTGTTTATTCTGCCAGCGTATTAGAATCATATTTAACATAAGTGTACCCAATTGCCATCAGGCTGCTGCATTCAATACTATCGAGTGTGGAGAACGGAATTAGGCATAGGGCGAAATTCGGGCCCCTTACCCTAACTGATCATTGCTGTATGACTCGCAATCGGGACACTTGAGAGGTATCAGAACTTGATAGTGTACATTCACGCCATCTTGTGGTATTTCAGAAAAGAACAGCAGAATTTTGTAAGTGTATTAAAATGAAAAAAAAATGGTTGTCTCTAGTTTGCTTGACAAGAAAAGGTCCCCAAGTGTAATTGCTGACTTTTTAATGAGGTTTAGCATGGTTGTAGAAGTTGGAATTCTGAACCCAATGATGTTTGTTTCAGCCACATATAACCATGGTTTATGAGATATTTAATGTTAAAGTTGTAACCACTGCGCTAAATCTCATTAAAAAGTCAACGTTACACCTGGAGACCCTTGCATGTGGATTTAAGGTGCGAATGAAGAGGCTGAATCTGTTCATGCGTTCGCGTCCTAGGGACGAACAGATGATTTTAGGCGTGCATGAAGAAAGTCTTTCTGGGAATGAAAGAAGGTAAAGGCGAATTTACAGTTTTACATTTTGAATGTGCGTCACCGATGATTCATCCACAGTGAATGTGAAAAATGAGAGCTGGAGTATTTGTACCAGTTCAATGGTTGAATTCATTTCACTAGATTTCAAAACGTTAGCGACAGAAATCGTGGGTGTCGGAATTGAGTAAATAGGTTTAGCCCTTGAAGAGGAATGTCGTAAAATAGTAGAAAGGAGAAAGAAACAGAACTCACTATGTTGATAGAAATTTGTATTCACCTAGATAAGCTTAAAATATTTTTCATATTTGGGTCATTCCATGGAAAATGGATAGAGTTTGAACATGACCACCATCAATTTTTTTTCATTTTTTGTAGAAAATTAGATACGTAGGAGAAAAGCATTTTAGCAAATATTTAATTATTAATTATATCAACTAATCTGTTTTTCGACTGCATGAAAAGTGAGTCACGATAAGTAACCTGAATTGCGTTGAATGTGGAACAGTATTGAAATTCGATCGTAGTAACCCAGATAGCAAATGACATCTTAAAGACGCCCATTTTACGGCTATTTTAGGTTTAAGGTGCCTTTAAGCCATCTTCAAGGAATCGTGTGCTATCTGGGAAGTTAATATTTAAGTGTCGTACAGTATTTAATGATCCAAGACAAGAGATTTTGAAAATTATTTCTTCAAAATACGTAGTTGTTGATTGAATTAATTTTTGATAAGAACTGTGTGCGTTATGGGACAACGGGACAATGGATTTATAGTAGCCATCGAGCGTTCACGCGAACGTATATTTATTTAAATGGTTTGTAACAGAACTTCTGAACCTTTGAATCATGTCATTCCCATATAGATCAAACCCGGTACCACTACAAATCACCGACAGTTGGAAATCCTACAACTGTTTCAGTGACGATGGGTATAAACATCTAGTTGTCAGTCATACAATGGATTTCGTTGGTCTGGACAGTGGCGCGCATATTCAAAATATAGAGCGTGCTTGGCGAGAAACCAGAGCAACTATTCCACGGTATGGACCTCGTAAAGAACACTATGTTGACTATATATAGTAGTTCAGTCTTTGTTTCGGCTACAATACGACTGTGATAGTTGCATAAATGCATTGTTCTATATAACGGCTGAAATGTCCCTAATTTCTCCATTATTTTCATAATTTTGAGAAACTCAATATTTACGTTATAATTAGGTAAATCGTTAATAATGATATCACAGATGTGTACTGAGGAAAACATTCTTCCATTCTTCCATTTACCTTTATCTTTGATACAAAAGTTGAGCTGCGGTTACATCTACATATAAAATTACTCAGGACAATGACCTTTATAACATATCGTTAAATTGCTACATTAACGATTTAATTCAGAAATCACAATTTTGGGGAAAACGAGTTTGAATGTTTCGATTGATACAATTTTACACGAACATCATATTAAAGGGACTGTCCTGACGTGGCACGTTCTGGAAGTTTACTTCCCGGACTAAACCGATAAAAAATATAGGCAACAACCGTTTTTTCTAG